AAAAGTGTTCAACAATCTGCCACAAAGTATTAAAAACTTGGGCAATGATACTAAAAAGTTTAAATCAGAGTTAAAGAATTATCTACATGCTCATTCCTTCTACTCTTTAGATGAATACTTCAATGTAAATAGAGAATGATGTAAAATTAAGTTATATTAATTTTTAAGCTAAAATTGCCTGTACTTATGTATGTAACCTTTTGACTTGTTCTGTATCCAAAGGTACTAACCTACTTAGGATTTATAGAATGTAAATAAATTCAATTCAATTCAATTCAAGAGCCCTCCACTGCTCCATATCTGGAGACAGATCAGTCCAATCCATACCATTCCATCCTGTATCTGTAAGATCCATTTTAATATTGTCCACACACCTGTGCCTTGGGCTTTCCATCTGGCTTTCCCACTAATATCCTGTATGCAATCTTCTTCTCCTCCTCCTCCCCTCCCTCCCCATTTGTGCTACATGACTTCCCATCTCATCCTTGACATGATCGTTCTAATTATACTTTGAGAAGAATGCAAGTTATGAAGCTCCTCATTAGGCAGTTTTCTCCAACCTCCTGTCACTTCATCTCTCCTCAGCCCGAATATTCTCTCCAGCACCCTGTTCTTAAACACCCTCACTCTATGTTCCTCCATTAATCTCCTCTTAATTTCCACCTGAATCAGATTTGATTTGTTATTGTTCCCAAATATCTGAACTGCACCACATTTTCAAAACATCTGTTACTTATCTTTATGTCATGATTTTGCCCTGCGCTTTGGTGCTGAGACATCAGCATATGCTTAGTTTTCTCTGTGTATACTTTTAGGCCAGCCTCCTGACTAGTGTTAGTTGATGTTTGTGTGTGTTTCTTTGTGGTATCTATATTATCACCCAGTAGATTCACATCATCAGCGTAGACCAACAGCCGATGTGTCCCATTTAACTTCAGTCCCACCTGGTTTTCCTGGACCTTCCTAATGGCATATTCTAAGGCAAAGTTGAAAAGGAGTGGTGATAAAGCATCTCATTGTTTTAGACCATTCTAGACATGAAAATTAACAACAAATGTTTACCAATATGGACTTTACTATACATTATGTCTAAACACATTTGAATCAGCCTAACTAGTTTCATGAGTACCACAGATTCTGTCAGATTATTGTACAACAACTGAATCATAGTCTTTCTTGAAGTCTACAAATAACTGATGTACTGTCTCATTGTACTCCCATTTTTTCTCCAGCATGTGACGAATGAAAAAGATCATCTAGCTGGACCTAATTGTATCAGATGTGGAATATTTTCTTTTAGAAATGTTACAAGTCCTGCAAATGTTGAACGAAGTTATAAACTATTCAGTACTTTACAAGAGATTTGTTGGGACGCATGAATATATGTATCACCATCATTAAGGTGTACAGGGGAAGTAGATACAAAATGGCACACATTATTAACTGTGAATCTGGATGGATATGATTTAGGTAGCTTCACACTCCTGCCACATTATCCCTGGGGAAAGTGCATTTGGTACCCATTGGATAGGAGGCTGATTAGGCCACAGAGCCAATCTGGATATGGTTCCAAAGAGAAAAATTTTAACCCCAGTCAGGGATTGAACCACTGTCATTTAGCCCATAGCCAGTCACTTTTCTGATGAGCTATTACAGCCTTAAATATTGCAAAACAATATGATCAAATAGACAAGTGATGCTGAATGTTTAATCTGTCAGGTGAGAATGTGTTTATATAAATATGCTCTCAGTGATGTGAAATTTCTTTGGTTCTCAGCTGTAAAAACAGCTGAGAACCAAAGATATTTCACATCACTGAGAGCAAACACATTCTCACCTGACAGATTAAACATTCAGCATCACTTGTCTATTTGATCATATTGTTTTGCAATATTTAAGGCTGTAATAGCTCATCAGAAAAGTGACTGGCTATGNGCACCTGTCATCTGGGGCTGGTACAGTAGGCCAGAAGTGGCCGCAATACAAGGGACTTAGTCCCACCCCACTAGCAATAAAAAAAATAGATGGTATCCCTTCCATTATCCGTTGTAAAAGTGGAAGAGCAGCAGATTTTGATACCTTGGGTATAATATTTGCTATATTTAATGAAAGCTGTCAGTATAAAACCAAAGCAAATTCCATTTTCCTATGAGCAAAAAGTAGTAATTGTCAAAAACAGAACCGTTTAAAACTGGGGTTCTCACTGCAGTGAATATGAAAGTTACTGTGTATGATCTTTGGTTCTCACAGTGGTGATCATGATTTTACTGTATTCTGGAATGTGATACCATATAGTTCGATAGAAAGGTAGTAACATTTCAGAGGAACATTCTACCTATATCTTTATGGTAGATGGGTTTCTTCTTCCCTGAAGATGGAGGCAGCAGATGTCTCTGAAAGATTGGTGCCTACCAAAGTATATGACATCAAATTGTAGCAAACAGTAGTAATTTTTAACAACAAACTGTTAAAGTTATTCAGTTAATTACAGAAATCTGAAAGAAATAAGAAATTCATAATTTTACAGGAATAGCCCTTAGTTCAGTGACAGGTGTGGGACAAAATGCACTTAGTATGTAGTAAAATCATGGACTGGCTGTCTTGAACTGTATTACTGATGTGCTCTTTGTACTACAGCTCTTATGTGATTGTATAATTGTGTGAAATTCCTGAAATGCATAATTCATTTTGTATTTTAATTAGTGCACTTACCTGGTTACAATCACACAGTTTAATAGACACTAGGTTTGGGCCTGTGTATGAACATTACCTGAATTATTGGATTAGTTTTATTACAACATTGAGTTTTGTTACACCCGGTAGGTAGTTCATAAAAACTCATTAACAGGTCACTGAATGAGCTCAGAATTACTTGCAGCCTTTCTTTAAGTTTAATTATCACCTTAAAGATACAGTTGAACTCTTTTTGTGTTGTGTCTGGATCCTCTGGGATCCCATGCATGGAATCATAACACTGGCTGAAATTATGCCGAAGCAGAGTATCCATTATTCCCGTATAAGTTAAAAGAAGAAGGAGGAGGATGGAGAAAGGTTTCTTGAATATCACTGAGTCAGCTGCTTTGCTTGGTAAAAGAGCTGTCTCAGCACTTGTAAAGGAAATAGAAGTTTACTCAGTGGCACATAACTTCAAAAGCACTCTTCTTAACCTTTAAATAATTTGAAGCGTAATTTTCCTTCACATGGCTCATAATTAATATTTGTTTTGTTTAGTACTAGACCTGGATAAGTTGTTAGAACTGGAAATCAGAATTATCTTTAGGATTAGCTTTATTAAGGCTGAAATAAGAGCAGAACACAAAATGACTAATTGTATGGAGTAAGAGCCATTTTGAGAAGCTGATGGTCACTCAGGGACCGCCTCTGTAGTCTAGTGGTCAGAGGTCTTGGCTACAGATCCAGAGGTCCCGGGTTCGATTCCCGGCGCTACCAGATTTTCTGATAAGTAGTGAGTCTGGAATGGGGTCCACTCAGCCTCATGAGGATAATTGAGGAGCTATTTCAAGGAAATAGTGGCTCTGGTCTAGAAAACCGAGATTAACGGCGATGGGGATCCTTTGCACTGACCACACAACACCCTCTATCCGCTAAATTTGGCACTAACTTCGCTGACAAGTGACGATCCCTCGGTCAGTATAGTTTGCTTGCGGACTACAGGCCACAGACTTTTGTTTTTGTTTGATGGTCACTCAGGTGGCCAAAAAACTTGTCACTTTTTTTTTTGAACCTGAAGGTTTTGCTGCTTCAGTACTTTATTCGGTTTGTTATAAATTACAGTTTGGAATTTGACTCCTGATCCTGTGTTCCAGCATCACACCCAAATTACAAATACTGTTGTATGGTAGAACTTACCAATTATATACATAAGCATTTTAGTTACATTCCCTTACTACTCCTACATATTGCTACTCATCTGCGTTGTTCTCATTATTTCTTACTGCCCTTCCTCATTTCTCTTTGCATGAGGAATGAGGGGTGAGGAGCAGCATGTACGAGTATGTCCCTATTTTTTGCCACTGCTTTTTATTCTTGCAGCCTACTATCCTCCTAATACACATTTCTGCATCAGTGTTCCTAAACCTCATGTTTAAAATCTGGTGCCTCCAAATTTTTGTTCCTTCCCTTCTTAGTATGTGACTCCCGTCTTCATTGCTGCATGTGGGACAAAGCCCCTACGAGTATGTATCAGTCATTGTTCCTTCAGTTTCCAAATTTTTATCTTCTACCATATTATTATTCTCATGGTCCACACCATATCTCATGCAGTTAGTTGCTGGCTTCCCACCGCGGCTGCCCAGGTTGAAGCCCTGGTCTGGTCATGTGGGATTTGTGGTGAACAAAGTGGCACTGAGGCAGGTTTTTTTGAGCACTTCAGTTTACCTTTGCCAATCTTCATTCCACCAGTTGCTCCACAATCACTGTCATCTATCATCTGGGGCTGGTACCATAGGCCACTAGTGGCTGCAGTACCAAGTGGACTCAGTCTCATCCCACTAAGTATAATAATAATAAAAATATATTCTCATGGTTTCAGCTGTATGTATTTTTGTACATTCTTATTTCATCAAATTGCTTCTTAAACTGTTATACAATGTTAGTGAGCTTCTCTCTCTCACACACACACACTTTCACACACGCATGCACGCGCACACACACAAAAAAAATTATAGCTTCCATTTGCACCTTTCTATATTAACACTTATTCTTATGCAATCTTTATTGCTGTTCCTTACATTATCCCAAATATCTGATGTTCCCCCTTTTCAGTTCCTGTTTAATTCTGATTATGCAGTTTTCTTCCCTGATTTTCTGGTGCCCCTGTATGTCCCTTGACGGATTTGTGTTATCTGTTTCTGACACTTGTAACCAACATTTAATTACTGTATTTAATACTCTGACTGGGGACACATGGTAGCATAGTTGGTTGAGGCACTATGCTACAAGCTGGAAGGTCGCAGGATTGAATCCCGATGAGCAGTTTACCTAATCCTTCCAGATGCACTATGGCCCTGTGGTCAACTCAGCCTCAAACAGAAATGGGTACCAGGGATATTCTGGGTGGTAAAGGGCGGCTGGTGCGTAGGGCTGACAACCTTACTGCCATCTATGAACTGATTGTCTAGGAAATGTGGTAACCTCAACTTCTCATATCCCTATGGGCCTCCATGGCCTGTTACAGGGATACCTTTACTTACTTTTTAATACTCTGACCTTGTTTGCCTTCCCAATGTCCTTCACACAAGCACCATTTGTTGATGCCAATGGTACCCCCATTACATCTTTTACAAAATATGTCATGTGCTTTCTCTGCATCATCCATCCAACCTTAATCCCCAAAATTTAAATCTCTGCAACCATCATGACTCTGTTAGTGAAGTGTAATTTTTCTAATACTGTGACCTTTATGTTCATGCCCTTGCTAAACATCTGGTGATACTAGTCAGTATTAATAATCTTTAAATATGCTGAATGAAGCTTAATACAGTGCACAACCGTCTCATTGAATCGAAAGTTTCATTACTGTGTTCATGAAATGACTCCAGTTCAAACACTCACATGCTGTATCTTTAAGAGCTTCTTTAAGAACATTAATAAACAGTGAAACTGTTGTTTGTTTGCTCAGAAATGGAGACATTGTGATAGCCTAACACATCACACTTAAAGAGCTGGCTGTCATGTGGTTTTGAATTTAATGCTGCATATACAAGTTATGAAATACCTCTATATCTGCCAGAGAAAGTATGAATAAAACGTGTATCTCTGAACAGGTTGATGTAGCAATAACACTCCATATTTATATATGAGAGATGCTTGGTTCAAAGTTGGCTGGGATGCCAGCTGTCTTGACTGTTTTTTTTTTGTTGTTATTTTCCTCAGTACCGTCAGACAAATTCTGGGATAGTATCTTGATTAGTCCATGAAGTTTCCTTCCAGATCTTTTCCAATTCATTATTCACGAGGCATCTGCTGTTTCGTTTCCAGCAATACCCTCATGCCCCGGCACCATATCAGTTGCACCCTGTTATGTTTGGCCAGTTCCATAAGGGTTTGGTGGTGATCCCAGCCCAATTTTGAAGATGGTAAGCGTACTGGTTGGCCAAGAACGGTCAGAACTGAAGTCAGGATCCCAAGAAGTTTCAATGTTTGTGTATGCTAACCGCTCGCAAACAGTAGATGAAATCACAACCAGCAGCATGAGCAGCAGGGATTAGTCATGGTTCTTGCCACAAAATTGTGTCTTATGACCTGAACATGTCTCGTGTTACCGAGCACAGTGTTCCACACATCCTGGCACAAGGCCAGTGTGATGATCACTCAGGAATTTGCCGTGACCTGATCGATAGTGCTGACAAAGATGGAACATTTCTCATCTGGATCATAACAGGAGATGAAACATGGTGTTTTCTGTGTGAACCACAACTGAAGTGACAATTGGTCACCTGGAAATTGTCATCGTCTCCAAGAAATAAGAAACTGCGACAGGACATGTGAGAAGGCAAGGTGATACTTGAACTGTTTTTCGACTCATCTGGAATTATTCACATGAATTCATCACAGAAGGAGTGACTGTAAAGAAGCATCGCTACAAGGAGATCCCTCGCCATCTATGCAGTTCAGTTCATTGTAAGTGTCCTGAGCTTTGGCGCTGGAAGAACTGGCTGTTGCTAAATGAAAGTACCCCTGCACATCGCTCTGTGCTTGTCCAAGAGGAGCTGGCAAAATGACAGGTCACTGTTTTGTCACACACTTCCTTCCTCACCTGATCTTGCACCATACAATTTATATTTTTTTCCACGCTTGAAAGAAAAGCTACATGGGCATTGATTACATTCGGCCAAGGAGATCGTCACTTACGCAAGGGAAGCCATGTGGGACCTTCCTGCAGATACCTTTCAGCAGTGTTTCCAGCAGATATACCAACGTTGGCAGACTTGCATAGCAGCCAAAAGCGATTGTTTTGAGGGAGAATGTGGTTATATGTAAGTGTGTGCGAGAGCGGCCTCCGTAGTCTAGAGGTAACGTTCCCACCTCATGACTCGTAGTACGTGGGTTCAAATACCTGGCGGAGGTCGTCGAATTTTTAAGGGTGAAAAAATTCAGGGAACAAGTCCTCCGGGAGGGACTTTAAGCCATGGGTCCCATGTCGTAGCTTTACAGCACGTAAAAGAACCTCATACCTCCAAAGGAGGTCACTGAGCAAAATTGCGGACGTTTGCTGCCCAACAGCAGTCACTAATACCTCCGGTAGAGGGGGGGAAGCATTATAGATACTTCTTAGCCAGTAGAGCCGGTCTTGCTGGCTGGGCGGGACTGATGGTAAGCACCAATACCGGTAGGATATAGAGGCTGGTAGAAATCATAGAGGGAAGCACAATGGACCAATACAGGTCTAAGTGCATGGGGAAACCCACCCTCTCTAATAACTAACTAACTAAGTGTGTGCAAGTATCTTGTATTATGGTGTGAAAAAACCATAGACCACGAAATTATTGACTGTATTAGTATATGTGTGTGACTAAATCAAGGGACATGCAAGTAGAGGAATGGACACACTGAGTTGAGTAGTAAAGTTTGAAAGAAGAAAATCTGTTCCATGGAACCCTACCAGGTATTGCTGTTAATATACACAGTTTAATTATTCAGAGTATTAAATCCTGAAACCAAGCAAGTTGACTAATGCAATTCCCTTGCCATCATTACAACATACTCATCTGTCACCTCTCCCTAAGGTGTTCCCTGACCAGGCAGCATGTTATCGCATCCACAGTCTTTAAGTCTGGAGCTTCGTTATGGTCCTAGCACTTTGATGGTTACAGAGTAAAGAAGTTTATGTTTTAGTTTTAAGCATTCATGACATAGACTTGAGATCAATAAAATTAAATGACTTTCATGTATTTTAAAGAAATAGGTTTAAATATATAATTAGAACCAGCATATAATTTATTTTCATTGTGTAACATTGTATATACTTCAAAAGTGATAAGACATATTTATGTGTAGGAAAAGCATACATAGTTTATGTGAGGTAGAGTTGCGTTATCATCTGTACATGTGAAGTAGTGAATATGAAGATACACAATATGGGATTGTGGGGATAGAGATAGTAGAATCAGTAGTTGTGTTCTTATCAAACATGCTCTTTGTCAAGTCTGTGAAACTTTTAAGCCTATATTCCATCTTAGGGGATAAAGTAGGCTAATGAAATCACCATGCTCTGTGTGTGTGTTGCCCTCGTGAATTTTTTTATCAGTTGACCGATCATTATGAAATTTGGTATTAATATAATGCCATTAGAGACCACTCCAGTTTCGTAATTTTTAATATCCTCTGATTTATGTGCAGACTTGTGAGTTTGGAATACCGCAAGCATCACTTACTATAGTGTCTTGTAATTTTTTAATGAAAAATATTTTTGAAAAAGAAAAGTATGCAACTTTTTGTAGTTTCCACATAGAAAGTAACAGAACCTACTTTAAAGGAGATTAACCTCCCATCCCTGGAAGTGCCCTGTCTTAGCTTTCACAGATTCATTCTCTGTACTTTTGATTAGGGCCGATATATCTTTGCTGAAATATGCTCCTTCCTGATGCATCTCTCTGATAAATTTAAATCTCACGATGGAACCACTGAATTATTGATGTTTCTGTTGGAATTTTAAGGGAACAAACAAATTTGCTGAAAATTTTAATTATGGAAGAAAATAAAATTTTTTAGTAGCACTGCCTTCGGTGTTGTAATATTTATGTAGTTCTGAGAGAGCCTGACATTTGGAGGCGCATATTGCCTCCACCCTTGGGGTCAAAGGGTAAGCCAAACAAGAAACTAGCGTTGTGGGGTGGAGCTCAGGCAGCTGCCTCTCATCCTGGATTTTTTAAAAAAAAATCTGTCGCAAAAGGAAGGAAGACATCATGGACGTGAATCAGTGCAACAGGACACTAAAATACAACAGAAGGAAACATACCTAATATTAATACCAAAATTCAAATTATTAATAAATTATGAGTATTCTTCTGTCTAAATAATTTAGAATGATCAGTAAAAATGATCTTAAATGACTTAAGGTAAGTTTGTAAGGACATTTTCTGGAAAAATTTATGTACCTGTGGGATTTCTACCTTCCCCCCCCCCCAGTATCAGGACAGCAATTTATATTTACTTTTCGACATTCACTTTATTTGCATTTTAATTCATTCAGATGTTAGGACTTGCCATAAGCGGTAAAATGATGTATTTTTTTTTTGTAATAATCAAATGAGTGACAAATATTCTCAGATATTTCATGTACTTATAGTAACTTAATTTTTTCAGGAATCCAACCCAAGCAAGAAAAGAAGATGGTGTGAAATTTGATGAACTAGCAGCAGTTGAGGGAGAGTTAGAATGTGGCATGCAGTCACTAAGTGACTCTTCAGACAAGCTGCATGATTTAAAATATCAGTCCTATTCAACACCACCTCCTGAACAAAAGAATTCTGATATGATCACAGAGCAACAGGAATGTATGCAAAGCAGACTGTATATGAGAAGGTTTATAAACATTCTCCTGAAAGTGAGTAAATTAGAGGAGGAAATGCCAGAGAATTTGGATGCACACCTTTATATTACAGTAACACCAGAACAACTGACAGTTCTGCAACAGTTCAGTGAAGGAAGTAACGATGTCACACTTCATGATTTGGATAGTGTTCTCTCCTCTGTTCTTTTTTTGTCAACATCAGACGCCTCTAAAGAGTATATTCCATGGTTTTTTATAACTGATATTCTTCTGTCTAAAGAGGTAAGAAATATTACTCAGATGTAGTAGTGTATTTTGCATATCCTTCAGCAAATCTGCACATTTTTGTGCATCAGAATTCTTTATGTGATGTGCTGGTAGTCATGTTTCGTCTTCAGATCCTTACTGAGGATGATGTGACAACTATTAGCCAAAATTCCAACTTTTTTTTGTTGAATCAGGCACACTTGTTTCACATCCCCATTTCTCATCTGTCAGCAGTTCATGACTCTGATGTGCTTGAGTAAGCTCCAGTATACCTGCTACAATTTGACTTTAATTATTTCTCATTTGGAACTTTTTGAAGCTCCTGAATAAACCTAAAATTGTTAACCAGGCATTGTAATATGTAAAAGTGATTGTAGGTCCATCTGACCATATAGTGAGTGTAACTCATGAAAGACAACGCTGTTATCTACTCCTTCCCCACCAGAGTAGAATTGAAAGCACATACAGTGGAACCTTGCTTAAAGAGCATAATTCGTTCCAGAATCTTACTCGTAATGCAAAACACTCATTATGCGAAACAATTTTTCCCATATAAATTAATGTAAAATGTGATAATGTGTTCCATGCTGAAAAAAAATACTAAAAAAATTTATGTATAACGTTTATTCAAAGAAAATTATATATACATTGTTAAGGAGCGTGAATCATCTTCATCTTTTCTTTTATGCAGAATGAACCAACCTGGAATGCGAATTCGATTTGCAGAAAACAAAAAAAATTGAAATAATTAGTTTATTATTTATGATACATATCTAATTGTTTTTTACTAGAAAGCTATCTAGAGACATTTGTTTTTGCCGACGCTTCAAAATTTGGTGAAAATGTGAGACAGCATTATCATTAAATAAATTTGTAGCACACATAGCCACTGCCTTATTAGGGTGATGCTTCTCAGTGTACAGTGCAACAGTTTCCCATGCTTTCAGCATTTATCTTATTGCGCCAGAAGATTGTTGCTTTGCTGTTACCTCCTCCTCCTATGACAAACTCTCCTCCACAACTTCTTGCTGTGAAACACAATGCAACTCCAAATCGTTGATGTAGACTGATTGTATGTGCATGCTAGATCAGCCACGCTCACACCTCGTTCTCGCTTTTCAATGATTTTATGTTTCATTTCTACGGTTATTTTTATTCTCTTATGGCTGTCTTTTTGCGGCTTTTTCTTTGGGACATTTTTGCAAGGGTTATTAAACTTTGCACACAAAAAAAACACATATATGAGTAATATGTCTGAACACAAGTTTGGAAAAATGTGTGATCACAAGAGACACTAATGGAACTAGCGGAACGAGTGCTAAACACAGACTGATGTAGCAAGCGCGCAATCTGGGACTTCCCCTCTCGTCACTTGTTATGCGAAACGTCACTCGTTAAGTGAGTCATTTTTTTTACAATTTGTTTTGCTCGTTATGCGAATTACTCGTTATGAGAGGTACTCGTTAAGCGAGCTTCCACTGTAGTTCATCAGAATAGCCTGACTTTTGAATCAGTGGGTTTCTGCAAGTAGAAGAGAAAAGTATTAATTTGTGATGCTTTGCTGAGTTGACATTAGCGTGAAATTTATCTTAAAACAAGAAGTTCTGTGAAGAAGTAATTGCCTACTTTTCTTTCTTTACACATTGAGTACTTGATGACACAGACTGCATAGAAAGCACTACATCAAACAGCTCTTCTGTTGTACATGTAGTTGTTGCTGCAGGAACACATTTATTGAGCTGTTACGTAGCAACTGGAACATGTTTACCAGTCCATTGCCTAGCAATGACAAGAGGAATACACAGACACAGACGGCAAGGTGATTTCACAAGCCTGCTTTTATTTTCCAAATTAAGGGAAGTAGGCTAAAATATTAGGCAGCTTCTGTTAAATTTGCATCATTTAGCATCTATCTGGCTGTAAGAAAACACATTGACACATTCCAGTTTAATTCTACTGGTCCAAAATAATGGACACTTTACATGAAGACACACAAGAATTTCTGTGTTTCTTGAGCATATCTCATTAAATAATTATGGGGGGAAAGGTGTTTCATGCAAAATTTGTAGCAGAAGATGAAATACACGCTTTGTTTCAATTACACTCTTTCGGTAAGCCTGTGGGTTTTGAGGTAATTAAAAAGAGAATTGTTGTGCAATTGGTATACACATGTTTCCTAACTTAAGTATTTCATACTCAGTTGCAGTCTGCCATACACATGAGAAGATTTCAGAAGAATCCCCAGTAGTTTTCTGAACACATGCTAAGACTACCCAAGCTTCTTATTTAGAGTAACATTAAACATAAATTCCTCCCATCTCAGTTTAATAGGTCTGCATGTATATAAATATATATTTCATTAAAATATAATTGATTTGCTCATGAAGTCTGTTCTTGATAATCATAATAGGCCAGTTGTTTCAGCAAATGAGGTAGGGCTTCTGTTCATGTACCTTCATATTGTCAACATGTTCAGTTATGAATGTTTGAATAGGTATTTTTCCTTCTTTAATGTGTCCTGTTTTTTTTTTCTTCCAGGTATTAATGACACTTGTGTTTGGGTGCTTGCTCATTTTCCTGATGTGGAAGGTACTGAACGGCCACAGCTTGTATCAAATTGTGATGATGTTCTTGGTGTCATTAGTGATGATAAGCTTCTTTGTGACATACTGTCGACTGTACAAGGTAAGACTTTTACAGTCAGGCTTCATTTTACTTCAGTGAACTAAGGTAATTTTTTAATAGAAAGACATGATTGTGCATATAATCAAATGTCCCTGTGCGTTTTCTGTACTGGTATTGGTGTGATTGCTCTTATATATCTTTTTAGGTATTGAATATACCTTCAGTGTAGTCACCAGCATTGTGTACAACCCATTGCCAGCGATGAGGAAGTCGTAGGATACCTTTATCAGCACCTGTTGTGTTGATAGTTTGAATGGAGCGGTCTACTGCCTGAAGAATCTCTGGAACAGTTCTGAAGCAAATGCCACAAAGTGGTTCCTTCATCTTAGGAATTAAGTCGAAGTCACAAGGGCTTAAGTCTGGGGAGTATGGTGGATGGTTCAGTACTTCCCAGCCCCATCAATCTAACAAATCAGCCACAGCTTGCCATTTCAGCATTTCTGTCAAATCACGCGGAACCCCTCGTCATGCAGTTTTGCTCATGCCCAGGTGTTCCTTCAGAATGTAAAGCACAATCGTATGCGCTAATCCTGTCTCACGGGCCAGCTCATGAATCGTATGGCATCTATCACTCTCCAGTAAGGTGGAAAGAGCATACACCTCTTTTTCACTGACACTAGGACGACCTGACCGATGCATGTCTGCCACGTTTTGGCGTCCCTCGTTGAAGGCTTTTACTGACTTTGCCACTGTTCTGTAAGGCAGTGCAGATTCCCCACAATCCTCTTGAAGACCTTGATGACATTGTTGTGCTGTACAGCCTCTGGCACATTCAATCTTTATCCAACTCCGTTGTTCCTGTTTTGAAAACATCGTGACAGCACTACATTAGACCGCGAGCTAACACAAGGCCCTGTTCTTCTCGTCACTGCGCATGCACGTGATGTGGGAAGGGAAAGTCAATTTGCTCTGATGTAAGGTAAGTACGTAACTAATGTGTGGTATAAGCGACATTATTTGGTTCCGTCGCATGGCGCCTCTAGAGCAGTGTTGCCACTATTAAAAGTCCCAACCCTCGTATATACAGGGTATCCCAGGAGGAATGTGCCAAACTTCGGGAGGGTGTTCCTTATGTTAAAGTATGCCGATATAACCCAAAACACCTGTGTCCAAAGTTGAACGGTTACGGAGATAATGGCCCGATAAAAGTGTGGTCTTCTGGCGGGTCCACGCACTATGCCTGTCAGCTGAGACGTCTTATCTATGTTTGTCCTTGAGTGTGGTGATTCACACTAGCCGTAAGCTCATGTGCTACCTACAGAGTACGTTGCGGCCGGGTCGTGAATGGTTGGTAATTAGTTGTGCGGAGTTGCTGAAATGCCTTTTGTGTTTTCACACATGGAATATTGTGATACACATTTTGTGTGTGGATTTTGCGGTGGCAATGCACGTGTTGCTGTTGAAGAATACCAAAGGCGTTTTCCTGATAGAAGGATTACATGTCGAAGTGTATTTACGCGAATTCACTAGACATTGCATGATACTGGTTCTCTTCCGTGTGTTTCTGTGCACTCTGAAAGGGAGGATGTACGAATGATAAACACACGAGAGAACATTCTTGAGATGGTTCAGAGAAGTCCACATCTGTCCACTCGTAGAATGGCCTCTCACATCGGCTTATCACGTATGCAGGTGTGGCGAACTTTACACGATGAAGAGTTGTATCCTTACCATGATCAAAGGGTACAACATTTGGAACCAGGTGACCATGCACAGCATATGGATTCGTGCCACTGGATAAAAGCTCATCCCGAACTGTTAAGCATCATTTTATTCAGTGATGAGGCATCTTTTACCCTGGATGATGTAAATAATTTATGAAATGTGCATACGTGGTCCCATAATAATCCACATGAGATAATGGAAACGAAATTCCAGAAGACATTTTCCATGAATGTACGTTTAATACAGTTATGTAGTCTGTTTATACCAGAATGTGCAGTCAGCCATGTTACGTCAGCGCTTGCCAGTTATGTGTCATGTATAGTGTTTGGAAACCTAAGGACAATTATGACATGGCGAGCAAGTATTTTGTACTTCAATTTTATGGCTTCATGTCACTCACAAGTTAGTTTGATGTTACATACATTATTAACATTACAGAAACCACATATTCCTGGCAATTTTTTGCTATGTATTTTGTAATCAGCAAGTGTGTAACACCAGTCAAAGTTTCACACTTCTCAGGCCATTATCTCCGTAACCGTTCAACTTTGGACATAGGTGTGAGGGACACTCTGTATAAGAGCAGTCACACCAAAACCAGTACAGAGAATGCAAAGGGACACTTGAACAATCAAGGAAACAATACACCAACAAAATACATAAGTACAGGAATACAACACTTAGATATATACAGTAGTATAACCAAACAGTAAAAGCAGAATTATATTGTGCCGTGTTGCGCAATGGAGGACAACCCCTCATCCCTCCGGTGGTGACGTAACACTTTCGGAGCGTTGCCGTTGCTACGGTAGTAAGCCAGTCAACACCCCGCCTCTCCCCGCGGTGACATAACACGGGATGCCGCCGTTGCTACACAGCAGGAAACAACTCCCGACAGCGTTGCTAGCAACATGGCGCCAGACAACAGTGGTGCCTATTATGTGGCTGTTTTCTGTGTTGTCTGGAATAGGCTAAATAAGGAGCAGCGAAGAATATTCACAGTTCTCAAGTTCTCGAGTTACGAGTTGCGAGTCAACCTTTCAGTGGTAGTCTAGCATTTGCAGTCTAGTATTTGTGATACTGCTGATGGCAGTAATTGTCAGATTGTAATTTGTGTGATTGTAAGAGCGAATGTGGAATAAATTCGCTATACCAAATACAGCGTGAAGTTATTTGTCGCGTTACATACCCGACAGCGTGACAATATTAATAAAATATGTGTTGTACATTACAGAGACACAGCCACGTTTCAAAAAAGATATGAAGAAAACATGAAAGATGTAACTGAAAGAGTGATATTTGATTAGTGTGCAGTGCATTAGACTCTTTGTAAAATGTTTCCTGAAGGTGGCCTTATATGGCCAAAACATGTAGCACTGTGATAATGCATATATATATTAATATTTAATAATTTTAATAACATTGTTTATTTTTAACAATTGTAAGGATTAATTTGAATCAGTGTTTTTAATTTGTTGCATTATAGATGGAAAAAAATAGACTGTGACACTTCAATGCAACAGGATGCTCAATTGTAATATTTGTGATTTTTAGTTTTGTGTGCATTTCACATCTGTTCCATGCATAATATATTCCCCAAACCTCCAACCTCTTTGATTTGTTTGTCCTAATAAGATTTGAGTGTAAATGAATATATAGTTAATTTCATATATGTTTGTGCCTAGATTAGCCATGTGTTGCAAGTCAGTAAGAATTATTAATAATTTTTATTTCAGGAAGTGGAAATAAAACAGTATGCAACCATAAAGACAAACCCTGAGGTGCCACTAGGTTGCCGTCCATCCTCAGATTTGTCCTGGTATGAGGCAGGTATGCGGCTATTTCACAGAGTTGAATGCCATAAATATTATGAAGCTGTCATGTTAGATCCAGCTCTAAAGGTCACTCCAACTGTTGTTTTGTCTGAGATGGTAGCAGATTTCATTCTGCATCCAAGTGGCAAGTTAGGCTCTGCTATTGCAGACTTCTCAAATAATATACTAGGTAAGTTATATTTTGTTGTGGTGAACTTATGTAATAGCCATAATTGCATGATGGCAAATACTTTGGTAAAGGTCAGAAATATGAGAAGATGTGTGATCCTAATAGTAGATGTGAAATATTCTTTTGCCATTTTCATTCTGTGAACTGTTTTACTGCATATTTTGGCCTGTCAGCTGTTTCTTGGCTATCATTCCATTTATTTCAATATTTCTTTAACCCTTCCACGCGGTCATTTAAATTTCGCGGCCGTCTCTCCGGCGGTAATATATTCAGCCGTCCATTTAAATTTTGCTCGAAAATGATTTATTCATCATTGTTCTTAAATTATATGAGATAGGAACATGAAACTTTCACTAAAATGATCTTAAAAGGTGGTTTTATAACCTTACCTTATAATATGAGCGCCCTGTATCTCGGCAATGGAAGCAGGTTGTTTAGTATTTGAGCAGTGAATGGTACGCCTTGAAGGATGAAACTTTCACTAAAATGATCTTAAAAGATGGTTTTATAACCTTGCCTTATAATATGAACGCCCGGTATCTCGGCAATGCAAGCAGGTGACGCCTTGAAGCATTCGTCTAAACACAGCGCTGGCTCACATTCACCACA